TGAGGGGGCCGCGTTCCTTTTCCTTCATAGCAAAATCATTGATTTTACGAATGTTTTGGGCTGATTTTGTCCTTCTCAGGGGTCAGCGCTTCTTAGCGCTTCTGAGGAGGCCCCCGAGAGGCCCCAAGAGTCTCCCAAAAAGCCCCCCAAAAGGCTTCAAGAGGCCCCCAAGAGGCCCCCAACCCCAATAAGCCCCCAAGAGCCTCCAAGACACCCCCAAGATGCCCCGCGAGGAACCCGAACGACTCACACCAGGACGAAGGGCCCGAACGACTCACACCACGAAAAGCCCGAACGACTCACACCAGAAGGAAGGGCCCGAACGATTCACACCAGGACGAGGCGCCCGAACGACTCACACCACGAGGAGCCCGAACGACTCACACCACGACGAGGGCCCCGAACGACTCACACCACGAGCCCGAACGAGTCACACCAAGAGGAGGGGCCCGAACGACTCACACCAGGACGAGGGGCCCGAACAACTCACATCACGAGAAGCCCGAACGACTCACACCAGGACGAAGAGCCCGAACGACTCACACCACGAAGAGCCCGAACGACTCACACCAAGAAGAAGGGCCCGAACGACTCACACCAAGACGAGACACCCCAAACGACTCAAACCACGAGGAGCGTTTTCTCTCCCTCCGCCTCGTCCTTCTCCCGCTGCCCCCACAAGGAAGATGTACAAGGAAGCGGGAAGAAAGAGGAACAGAGGAGATATGCGGGGCAAAGCGGACACACGCTTGAAAAACACAACTGTCGGCATGCTTCGCAAGAATTGCTGTTGTGAGATGGGCTAGTGGGGACACGCGAAGCGTAAAGAATTTTTTTTAGGCCTTTTGGGACGGGGGGGGGTTCTTGAAAACATTGTACATTTTCTTTGGGCCAATTTGGTAGCGGTCGGTCAAAAAACGTGGGCTACGATTGTCGTGCGGGGTATGGCAAGATTGATTCCTCTTGGTTTTGGCCACTCAGAGCCGTCGTGAAAAGGTTTTGGAACGCGATTCTTCAGTCTTTCTTGGAACTCTTAGAACCCTGTAACGGCTCTCTTGAGGACCCTGTTTGCGAATCGTATGTATTTTTTGAAAACGTCCGGGCGTGTCGGGAGCCAATTGGATGTTTTTTTTCGGAATTCTTGGGGTATTGTTCGGGCCCTCTTGGGAACTTTTTGGGAAGCCCTCTGGGCGACTTCTTAGCGCCATCGTGGGAGCGGTCAGTCAAAAGAGATTTGTGACTAAATGTTTGTCCTCCCACCTCAAGGGCCGCGATCTTCGTGAGAGGTGACACAAGTGGTTTCCGAATCGAAGAGCTTCATACATTGCGACCCTTCATAAAAACCATTAGGAGGAGAGGGAGACGGCTTAGACCATTTGCGGCCGGGCCCTTCATGGAAACCGAAATTTTTAGCTAATAGACCGCATGTTCGAATATATTGAAACCGCCTTATGTGGAATAGAGCTCATATTGCAGAAAGGGTCGAGCCAATGCGAAGTCTGCTCAATTTGGCATCATTTTTTTTCATGCGCTACCCGAAGGAATCCATTCATTAATGGACGAAATTTGATGCCAATATAGCGTCCAATAACGAAAATTGAGAGTGAGGTAGCAATGTGTTCCCCAAACGCGTGGTGCAATTTTGACATGAGGCGCGATGATCTTTATCCGGCATGTTCTCACATAAATGCATGTCCATACGCACCAACCATCGGCGCATAATGTACATTTGCAAAACTTGTGAACACTAATGACGTAATTCTTGGCATGTGCCGAAAGAGTACGGGCCCTTCAAAATGCGGCAGCGTGGGGGGGTCAACTATCCCAACCTAATATTGGTGCCAACACGTGCATCCCAAAACTTTTTTTCCCAACCCTCCTTGGTTGGGTATTCGCTTTGAATAGAGCAGTGTGGTCGCGTCCCTTCTCCCGCCTTTTCCTGTCTTGCCTGCGGGGGGCTGCGATCTGCGAAACTGTCGCCATTTTCGAGGCCTGCTGGGGGACCCAGCACAGTGAGGGCCACGCGCGGATTCAAATTAGACCTCGCCATCCCTGGGGGGCTGCGATCTGCGAAACTGTCGCCATTTTCGAGGCCTGCTGGGGGGCCCAGCACAGTGAGGGCCACGCGCGGATTCAAATTAGACCTCGCCATCCCTGGGGGGCTGCGATCTGGAAACTGTCGCGATCTGATTCGAGAACTGCTGCGATCTGCGAAACTGTCGCCATTTTCGAGGCCTGCTGGGGGGCCCAGCACAGTGAGGGCCACGCGCGGATTCAAATTAGACCTCGCCATCCCTGGGGGGCTGCGATCTGCGAAACTGTCGCCATTTTCGAGGCCTGCTGGGGGGGGCAGCACAGTGAGGGCCACGCGCGGATTCAAATTAGACCTCGCCATCCCTGGGGGGCTGCGATCTGCGAAACTGTCGCCATTTTCGAGGCCTGCTGGGGGGCCCAGCACAGTGAGGGCCACGCGGATTCAAATTAGACCTCGCCATCCCTGGGGGGCTGCGATCTGCGAAACTGTCGCCATTTTCGAGGCCTGCTGGGGGGCCCAGCACAGTGAGGGCCACGCGGATTCACCTCGCCAGATCTTCAAATTAGACCTCGCCATTCCCTCGGGGGGCTGCGATCTGCGAAACTGTCGCCATTTTCGAGGCCTGCTGGGGGGCCCAGCACAGTGAGGGCCACGCGCAGATTCAAATTAGACCTCGCCATCCCTGGGGGGCTGCGATCTGCGAAACTGTCGCCATTTTCGAGGCCTGCTGGGGGGCCCAGCACAGTGAGGGCCACGCGCGGATTCAAACTAGACCTCGCCATCCCTGGGGGGCTGCGATCTGCGAAACTGCCGCCATTTTCGAGGCCTGCTGGGGGGCCCAGCACAGTGAGGGCCACGGGCAGATTCAAATGAGACCTCGCCATCCCTGCGGGGCTGCGATCTGTGAACCTGTCGCCACTTTTGAGGCCTGCTGTGATCCCCGTTTTCGAAGTGGCTAGGAGTGCTCAGGAATTGTGAATCATCAGCTATATCAAGCCCTTTTCCTGTAGCCAGTGTCCTGCGAGTCTCCCGAATTCCGTCTGCAGACATATGTAACCCTCGCTCCGTCATCGCCCCCTTATAAAGTATCCTAAACTATTTCCGCCCCGCTTTTGCGCAGGGGTTGGGTACGTCGCCAGGGTAATTGTTTAAGACAAAGGTAACAAAATTAATGATTGCTCCGCTGTGGATCATCAATGAATTAACATCTGTTGTTGGATCTAGCACTGCCAGAACAAATCTTTCAACGCATGTTTGATGAATTCGCAATGGATACATACACGTATATACACATATTGGCACACTACCCGATTCCCAAACTAAACGAACCATTGATTTGTCGGAAACCGTAGCACAATTATGTGAAATAAGTTGTTCGAAATCCGTTGCAATCATTCATTTTCGTTGTGTCGTGCGTTTAAGAAATACAAATGAATCTATGAAACATTTCGTTCTTGTCTATTCCATTCGCCACGCAATAAAATTATGCGATATTCTGCATGTTAGATATTTGGCAATAACTCGAACCCAATAGTTTGCTCATTATTATGGCCGAGCGCTTCCGTTATATATACAATACCGAAATGTTACAAACAAAATCAATGTAATCCGAAAGGCAAACCGATTCACGTGAAATACCCTCGTATTCTATGACGTTGAACAATTCCACGCGATCGGCGTATATGATCGATCGCTAAATCATCGAAATTAGTATGTTTTATTATTCGTTCCACGCAATTGCCGCGCTGTGAAATTCGCTCCACGCGTTTGGCGTTTTTTGTTTTACCAACAAGTTATGACAGTTTGCATTATTGTAAACATTCTTTTGCATGAAACAATATGTTGCTCTATATATATACATCTATACATATTGCCTCGTGTTTCGTGTAATAACGAATTCGTTAACCCATTTGCAAGAAACATAGTTCCGATTGTCCGGTAAGTTATAATAGATTATAATACGCAGTTCTTGTTCAGTCCTGAAACCACGGTTCTAACAGTCCCCAGATACACAGAAATTTGGTCGAAACGCAACGACTTCGTGGACGACGGGGCAATTCAGACCTCCAATGGTTTTTGGACATCTGTTTTTTCATCCAAGCTTGCAGGTTAACAGACAAACCTTTTTCTCTTAAGTAGATATTTCAATACTTATGCTTTCGTGTAGATCATGTTTGGAAACAAACTCAACATGAGCATGTGCCTCATTGGCCTCGAGAAGACAAAGACGCCTCGAGGTGCTACTTTCTTTGTAGAGTTCTTCAAACGGATGAGCTCGAGGGATTCTGGTACGGAATGGACCCCGGCCAAAGCGGAGAATACGCGCACTTTGGGTCGGCTGGGTAAGCATTATGAGAAATTGGGCAATTCGTTGTGAGAAACAATGTTTTTTTTTCTCACGTGCATGTATTACGTTATGCCGCGTCTGCCTGTGAAGTTCTCAGGTCTGTAGTTCCAATTTTAGCTGTGAGAGAACCGATTTCAAGTTAGTATGAAACATTGAATTCTGCATTTTTTGTGCATAATGCAGAAAAGTCCCACAATTTCTCAAATTGGATCACGCTGCATTTGCTGATAAAAGTGTTCGAAGAAAGCAAAAACTAAAACATGTGGTGATTCGTGTAGGAATACATTTTCTCTGCAACTCGACTGGAATAATTCCTGTCCCGTTTGCTTGAAATTACAAATCTCTAGCTGCCGTGCTCCAAAATATTTGCGCCACTGACTTTCGGTTAGTTTCGATGGTAGTCCCCCCCCAAAGGCAACGATACATTTACCCCCTTCGATGCGGGGGAAAGCGAAACTATATACCGTAATCGAGATCTACAACTCATTATGATCTGCACGCCTCCTGGTTCTGGAGTGCCGCTTCAAATCAGATTACGGTTAAGATGCGCGCGGACATCAAATATTGGCAATGAACGTCCCGATGCTGATCCGTAGGCCGCCTGGGCGCTTCAACTTTCTCCCGCGCAGCAGAATCGGCCACCAGCAATGGTGCCGATGCGACACAAGTGAGACAAATAGCCTGCGTAAACAACAGAGCAACGCGCCCAATGTGGTCCAAGGATGAGGAAGAACAAGTCGTGAACGCCTTCCTATTCGGCGTTTCGGCATTGGGCGGAAGGGAGGGAAGAGGGGGGGCTCTGACTTCGGACCTCTGCTTCGTGCGACTGTTTGCAGCAATGCGTCCTACAGGGGAGACTCCGTCCGCTTGAAACAGGCGCCCAAAACAGCCGAGATCTGCATTTCTATTGCATTTGGGGGGGAGGAGTGCGAAGGACCGTGCCGATCGGCAAGATAGCGAATAATGAAACGACAGCATGACCTAATGCTGAGGAAGAGCAGTGCCAGACAGCTGTCCCCTTGCCCCCTGCCAGGCTGACGCCGAGGAACCCTTCACTGATACCAGCGCGCGCTTCGCGCGCGGTGGAACTCTACCAAGGGGATTTGACGACTGGCGCAGCGATAAGACATGCTGAGATCCCTTAATCTTACCTTCCTGTGTCTGCTGCTCATCGCGCTTGACCTCCTTCGTCCTCTCGGTTATTGCGTTTTTGTTTTTTCTTTCTTTCTTCCTCTCTCTCTCTCTCTCTCTTCTGCCACCTTTATCCTTCGTAATGTGATTTTGCCTGCGCTTACAATCGCTGATCCACTTGCTGATTGGGTGCTCTGTTGCGTGGGCCGTGCTGGTTTTGACAGCTTCAGAAACCAACGACAATGATTGGAAAAGGTGTTAGTTGTTTTTTGAAACCTGTCTCCTTTCTTGAAATCTGCGAGTGTACGTCAAAAGCTGAAACACATGAATTGTGCCTCTGGAGCCTCTCTGCGGGGTCCTGTTCGGGCCCTGCTGCATTGTCTGAGGGGCTTCTGAGGCTGTCCTCGTGATATCTCAAGCTACTGTGGGGAGCTTGGACGTGTGTGAGCCCTCTTGGGCCGACTTGGAGCTATCTTAGGCCATCGTGGAGGCACTCGGAGCGTTTTCGAGGCCCCGGGGCCTTGGGACCAGATATTCATACAAGGGGTCCCGTGCTTATCTTGGGAGACTCTGGGTGTTGCGTCGGGGCTATCTTGGGGGCGCACTTGAATTTGCTGGTTGTTCAGGGTCCACGAACGCTGTCTCGAAAGGCCATGGAGCGGCACGGGAGGGAGATCAGGAGGGGGACAAGGAACGTGTGGGTGGGCAAGAAAAGAGTATTATCATCGATGGGGCCATCATCACTGGGTCTTGGGGTCAAAGAAAACCATCGACGGCCTGAACGAAAAATGGGATCGTTCGAAATCAATGTTTTTCCACGTGCTCTGGACTGCCCGGAGAACTTTTAAAATGGCCTCAAGGAGGCCCACCTGGCAAGGCAGATGGTTCGAAGGATGAATGGCCCAGGGCAGCCTAAGGCGGAGGGGGATGGGAAGGATATCAGGGGGGGACTGCAAAAGAGGCCAGAGGCTGCTAACCCCCCGGCGCACCGCAAACAAGCACCGCAGCAAGAAGGAAGCTGCACCGGCTTGAAACACGTTTGGTACTCCCATTTTTTCAAGCGCCTGCGACGGCTCCAGGAAGGAGCTCTTGGGGGCTTCTTGGGGGCGCCTTAAGGGCCTCTTGCGGGATCTTGGGGCCATCATGGGGCGGAGGGATCGAAAAACCTATTCGTGATCCATCTTTTGGGGTTCTCTTAGGGCCATCTCGGGGGCCGCTTGGGTCTTGGGAATCCCTTGTGCCGTCTTGGGGCTCTCTTGGACGCCGATTGGGCGGTCTTGGGATGATCTTGGGCCATCTTGGAAAGAAAAGATCCCGAAGAAACGATGAAGTTAATCTAAAAGCTAGGACAACAACGGACTTTGGCCTCTTCAGGCGCTCGTGCGCACATAAGCTGGGCCAGCCACGCACACCCAGTGCGATGCCGGGCTGGCGGAAGGCACGGAGCGGGTGAGAAACAGCAAACTGACAGGGCCGGGCGCCATGTCTGTTCAGTTCGAGCGCGCAATGCTGGCACGCGACGCAACGGCACTAGTTTCCGAACGCGCCACATGACAGAACATGCCTAAAACTACCAACAACTGTACAATCGAACGCAGAAAACTCGGAGCCTCACACGTCTTGCAGCTGCAAGTGCCTGCGGGGTCAGGATAGTTCAATGTAAGTTGAAGCATACGTGCTTGCCCAGCAACTGCGACAGTGCTGAAATCCAGTCGATAGTGCAATTCCAAGAGCTCGCCATCTCAGCTGCTGATGCGAAAGCGTGGCGCAAACCCTCTCAGCGAGGAATGATCATTAATACGAACACTTGCAAGCGGGTGCAGCTGGGCCAATCAATGGTGTGTTCACCCTCCTTGCCGTATGAGATCCATAGTGCACGCCCTATGTGGGACCTGGCGGGGGCAAGCCTGATGCTAGCGGGCTGGGTCACCTTCCTGGGGCAAATCGCCATTTGGATCCAAAATTGGCCGCACCGTCGCATGACTGCCACAACATCTTACACATCTTATTAAACCTCCTCCTCCTCATTATCCACTTTCTTTTTCTTCTTCTTCTTCTTATCCCCCTCCTCCTCCTCCTTCTCCTCCCCATCCCCTCCCCCCTATCCAACCAATCACTTACACTGTCGTTGTGATTGCACCAATAGCCGAGATGAAGTGCACCTGTAGTCGTGCCTCCTCCTTTCACTGCCCCTGCTACACCTTTTCTCTCTCTCTCTCTCTCCCTCTCTGAGGAGTACTAGAACACATCCAACACGCTGGAACACCAAAAGCAAATGAGACTTACGAATCTGCGCAGAAACGCGAATGGTATCGAGAAGAGGATCCCATCATGTGACGAGCGCGGCTGCCACCACAGTCGAAGATGATATCTATCACTTGCCGTGTGTTAGTGATCTGATACTTGAAGGCCCTCGCCAACACTTTCGCACAATGCCTTGTTACAAGCACATAGCGGAGGTAAGAGTAGGAGGGTAAATGCAACACCTGCATGCCACTGCCAAGACGTCCCATGGCCACCGATAGTGGCCGCGGATGCAAGTGGGTTTGGAAGAACTGATGCTAGCACAAACAAATTTCGGCTGTGGTCACGTCGCACGCGCGATCATTCGCGCCAACGCATACGGACGTTTGCCTATCGATCGGGCTCCCCCTCATTTTCACGTCGCAAGCATTTGGCTGAACACCGGCTAAATCACCGTTCCTGCACCCAACCGTCAATTCATACTTCTGATCATCAACCGCTGAATATGGTAGCGCTCACGTCATGCAACAGCCCAAGGCAATAGGCAGAACAAGAAATTGCATAGGTAGTGGAAAAAAATCTGAAAGCCTCACGCTCTCTTTGTGCAACGTAGCATGCTCGACACATCAATACACTGCATTCAGGAACACAGACGAACACGCTGCTCCTACAATACTAAGGAGGTATTGTCCGTCCAATGCTATGATACGATGCCTCGCAGTAGGCTGTGATCGGGCACTGCTAACTTTGAAAGCAACTTTGAAACAGCTGTTGCCAGCAAGCGACGCTGGACACTATCGCGGGCGCGGGCAACGAGGTAATGCCTAGTTCACAATGCATTTTGGGGGCGCTTCGCGCCTCCTGGAATCCGTTCCCTTCTCTTTCTTCCATCTCCTCATTCTTATGCTGCGGCTGTTCTTAGATACCCCTCCCCCTTGCAGCTACCAGTCACGGGGCGTGTCCCGAGGTGCCGAGCGACGCGCTGACTGGAAAGGCAGTTGCTACGCAACAAATCCACACCACCACATGCGTGATCCAGTCAGACGGAGCGGCGTACCATCGTCCTCGAACGCACTATTTTTTTCGCAGCGATACTACTCAAGCGCAACGCTTCTTTCGTCCTACGCGCTGCTCCGAACAAAAAAACCAAGGGTTCACTCATGCCCAATGATGGTGACTGGCGGCAGCACGGATTTCGCATTTCGTTTAGGAAACCCTGGAAGCCCTGCAGGATAGCTTGACCCACAAGTTTGACGCAATTACACGTGGAAGTTTGACGTAGTTACACGTGTTCATCACGGTCCACCCTTGTTTGTTGCTTCGCATCAGCTGCTCCGAACCATTCAGGCACTGATCTGTAACATGTGCCGCTTGTCGCAGCGCTCTTTGAAATCTGATTTCGCACAGGCTTGCGAGCTCCCTGGCATGACATCTGTATGGCTAGGGTCCCGTCTCGAACAACCCCGCTTCTGCGGGTCCGTTTGACAGTCAACAGGACTCGATTCACACTCTCATTGACCTGGCGTTCCTGCGTGACCTCGTCACACCCCTCGTTCTCTACCTCCTCGTTGTTTTTCCTCTTCCTCTTCCTCTTCTCAACTCCTCCTCCTCCTCCTCCTCCTCCTCCTCCTCCTAATCATCCTAATAATCATCATCAACATCATCATCATCACCACCATCATCATCATCATCATCATCATCATCATCATCATCATCATCATCATCGTTTTTATCTCCCCCTCAGGAGACCTCCGACGACCGTAAGAACCAACATAACAAATTATTCAGTATTTGAACAACAAACCAAAACCCTTCGCAAGGCGCCGGGATGCCCTGAAAATGCATCGAACACCGACTCCCCCAGAAAAAAAAACCCTCGGATGTTTGTAATGCCGACGTGTTGCAAGCTGTTCAATGGTCTGCTGTGCAACAGATGCAAACAATTCTCGAGAAACGCCGGCCCGACAACTTGACGGGATTCAGGCCTGGGCGCAGCGCGCGCGACCCTCTCTTCACCTTCAACATCATTCGGGAAAATGGTTTTCTAATGGCATCAAACTTTGTTGTTGTCCGCCGTAAACCTGAAACATGCGACACAATTGGGCAAGGCTACCTATGGACATCGCCACGTCGCAAAGGCATATCCAGCCAGCCAGCCCTTCAATCCGCACCGCGACACGGAACAAAAGGACCCTCCGAGCTTTCCGACGCTCTACTGCAGCCAGTTCTGGCGACACCCATCCCACAATAGCAACGACGACGACAGAGAGTCTGATTAGCGCGAACCGACTCAGATTCACCAACCTTCGCTTCGCAAGCGACATCCTGGTGATCAGCGAGACACTGCCTAAGTTTCAGACTTTGCTTGCTTACTCGATCGCTGCTTACCTGAGCAGAGCGGAGGGAGGAGAGAAGGCACACGAGAAGGATGGGGGGCCCCGGATCGCGCTGCATCGCCGCTGCATCGGCGATGCGGCGCGATCCTCCAACCCCCGTCTGCTCCAGCGCCACCTGGGCGGCCCAAGCTCCCGCCCGCTCCCACGCTCCGCTCCCTCGCCCGCTCATGCTCCCGTCCTTCCTCCTTCTTGTCCTTCTCCTTGTCCTTCCTCTCTCCTCGCTCCTCCTCTTGCTCCATCCTCCCTCCTCACCCTTCCCTATTCCTTTTCCTCTTCCTCCCTCCTCCTCTCTCTCCTCCCCCCTCATCCCTCCTCCTCCTCCTCCTCCTCCTCCTCCTACTCCTCCTCCACGGCTACCCCTCCTCCTCTCCTCCTGGACACGGCCTAGGGGGCCTCGGCACTCGCCGGGGCGCCGCGCTCAGAGGGCGCCGGGGGGCAGAAGCCGCACACCTGGCGGCCGCCGCCAAGGGGGGGGGGATGGATCGAGGTGCGAGGCTCGAAGTTCGAAGGTCTTCGAGATCCGACGTCGCGAAGTCCGAGATCCGACGTCGCGAAATCAGCCTGGCAAAGGACACATCCGTATGCAGGTAAGAATGCCACAGCTGTGGGTATTGGTCTTCGGTGGAGCTCAGTGTGGGCCACGAAACGCTCGGAACGCTGTACTAAGTGGTGGGACGCATGCAGACGGTGCCACTGGGGCCTTCGGCGGAATTCCCTTTGGGGCCACGAAGCGCTATACCGGATGGGGGAGAAGCATGCGGACGGTGCCACTGGAGCCTTTGGTGGAGCCCTCTATGGGGCAACGAAGCGCTGTACTGTGTGGCGAAGACGCATGCGGACAGTGCCACTGGAGCCTTCGGTGCCACTGGGGCCTTCGGTGGAGCTCGCCATAGGGCCACGAAACATTGTTTTGGGTGGGGGAGACACATGTGGACGGCGACACTGGGGCCTATGGTGGAGCTTGGCATAGGGCCACGAAACACTGTTTTGGGTGGGGGAGACACATGTGGACGGTGCCACTGGGGCCTTTGCCCACGAAACGCTGTACTGTGTGGGGCAGACGCATGCGGACGGGGCCACTGGGGCCGTCGGTGGAGCTCCTATGGGGCCACGACACGTGTTGGGGAGACGCGTGCGGACGGTGCCACTGGTGCCTTTGGTGGAGCTCCTTATGGGGCCACGAAACACTGTACTGGGTGGGGGAGACGCATGCGGACGGTGCTACTGGGGCCGTCGGTGGAGCTACCTGTGAGGCCACGAAGCGCTGTACTGTGTGGGTGGCACGCATGCGGGCGGTAGCGCTGGGGCCTTCGTTGAAGCTCCCTGTAGGGCCACGAAATTGTACACTGGGTGGGGGGGACGCATGCGGACGGTGCCACTGGGGCCTTCGGTGGAGCTCCCTTTGGGGCCACGAAGCGCTGCACTGGGTGGTGGGGACGCATTCGGGCGGTATCGCTTGTTCCGTCGGTGGAGCTCCTTATAGGACCACAAAACGCTGTATTGGGTGGGGGGACGCATGCGGGCGGTAGCAGTGGGGCCTTTGGTGGAGCGCCCTATGGGGCAATGAAACCTGTGAGGGCTGTGCCGAATTGTAGACTGATGGGAGAGCAGAGGCAGGGACGGGATGAGGAGGGGAGGGGGAGGAGGGAAGAACGCGGGGCGCTGTCTCTTCAAAACGAGGACCCAACACCACCGGACGATTGGGAAAATGAAACATACGACCGGGAGCCCTAGGCCCCATCTTTCCGCGGCATTTTCCGAGCCGCGCCGATCTGTGATGGCGCCGGGGCTCGAAACAGAGGGAAAAAAACATCCAATGTCGGGGATCTCCTGACCCGTGTCAATCCAGACCCGGGTCAGTCAAGGCCTGCAAAATTCTGCAGGATCCTGCACCCTGGCCAGGGGTCAGTGCAACCCTGGCTCTGCAGGATCCTGCAAGATCCAGCGCTCTGGCTGACCCCCGTTTGCATTGACCCCCGTCTCTCGAGCCCCGACAGTCTGAGAAGAGGTCAGCTCCCAAATTTCAGGGGGCTCTTTGTGGGCCTCCGGAGGCGGCCCAGAGCTGTCCAGAGGCCTCTGGAGACCGACCTCTGAGGGGGGGGGATGGCCGAGCGGCCGCGGGCGAGCCTTGCGCGCTCTGGGCTGAGGAGCGCCTTCTCCTCATGCTCCGCTTCCTCCTCTTCCAACTCCTCCTCCTCCTCCTCCTCCTCCTCCTCCTCTTCCTCCTCCTCCCCTCCTCCCCTCCTCCTCCTCCTCCTCCTCCTCCTCCTCCTCCTCCTCCTCTTCCAACTCCTCCTCCTCCTCCTCCTCCTCCTCCTCCTCCTCCTCCTCCTCCTCCCTCTGCTTTGTCTGCGACGGGGGGCCCTGTGCGCTCGCAGAGAGGCCTCTTCTCAACGGGAGCTCGCGTTATTGCATTCTATGTTTGACCGCAATGATTCTCGAGATGGCGCTGCGAATGAAATCACATTCGCTACCTTGTGGGCCCCGGAAACGGCAGGGCCGTTTTTTCACCGTTTCCAAAAAAGTGTCCCTGAAAACTGGAAACGGCAAAAAAAACGGCGACCAGAAACGGCAACAAAAACGGCTCCAGGATAGGAGCCGGAGCCGGAACCGGTCAAAAAAGGGCGACGGAACCGGTAAAAAAACGGCGTCGGAACCAGCGAAAAAACGGCAATACGGAACCGGTAACAAAAACGGCCCTGTCGTTTCCAGGGCCCACTAAGTTCGCTACTACGAAGGTGTTGTCCGCTTTCGGCTCCAGGAAGTGCGACACGCTTGCGGGCAAGAGCCATGACAGAGCTGGCGCCTGCGCGCAACTTTTATTGAGGGCCATTGTGTCAGAACTTGGGGACGGTTTGTTGCAGAGGTCGCGGAACAATGCGTTGCGGCTAACTCTCGCATGTCTTGGTTGGGTCCTGGGACACACAAATAAATAGACACAAATAACCCGATTCCCATTACTTTCCTATATTTTCTGGTTTTTCGTCCCCCCCCCCCACTTCCCATATTTTCCCATATTTTCTGGGGAATCGACGATTAATTGTGTCTGTGTGTTTTTTCCCTCCTGCAAATCATACTCACTGACACCGCTCGAGCCGGCTCGCCGAGCTGACATGGGCGTTGTCGGCAAACAGCGGGTCACTGCTGCGGTTGGCTGGCCGAACACAGAACTGCTGTTCCTGAAGAGCGGAAGGTGCTGTCGGACACTTTTCATCAGCAAGCGCTCTGGTGTGAAACTGTTACACCTGCAATCGTCAACTGTGTCTGGTAACCTTGGTTTCCTCAACTTGCACGGGCGATTCCAAGAAGACTGCTGCGGGCTTTACGTGTGGGCGGCGCCAACGTCATTTTACGTCGGAACTGGGGGGGATCGCGCCTCGATGGTTGGAACATACCGGGTGCTTCACTCGCCGGCTTGTGTCAGGGAGCGCAAGTGGCGTTACAACATCATGCGAATGTGGAGGCTGCTCGACGCGTTCTCCTTTGCCGCGCGTGCCGGTCTCTCCAACCGCATTCGCGCCATGGAATCTCTAGAGATTACTTCGCGGCGACCGCATGCGAGTGTGCCGGTATCAATTCATGCTCGCAACCGCGTGGCCGATGTGCTCTGCAGTCGTACTCGGAGACGGCCGCGTCAGCGCGCATCGCAGACGCCCCCATGTGTCCCACATGCATGTTCGGAAGGGCAACTTGATTCCGAACGCATCGCGAATTGCTTGTCCAGGTCCAGGGCCAAGAAATCTAACAGTCGAGGTTTGCATGCCTTCGATCCCTCGGAGGCCGTCCAGGGCAATTTCGACCAGTTGCGCCAAGCGGTATTGCAAAAGTGTCACGCTTCATCCAGATTCACGGGTGCTTTGGACTTGCATTGCTTACGTCCTCTGCCTATTCTACCTGCGTGGTGCGCATCCGTGGGAAAATCACGGGCTGGTCTCTTTGCGAATAGCGGCTTGGTAGCGCATGTGCCCCTGCCGCTTTGGCTGCTCAACTTCACTTACTCGGGGCCATTGGCAGGCGCAAGCTTGCCACTCGTCGGATGAACGCCGAGTTGCGCCGACGAAGACTCTCGCCAGTGAACAACGTCGGTGTCAGAGTTCTACGGCAGAGCATGTTGCATGTTGCCAAGCGCGCGCTCCTGCAGTGCCAGGGTGAGCAAAAAGTTGGAGGTTGAAGGCGTGTTGCAACATAATCCCGCATCCTTGTCCGCTGTTTCCGCGGGATTCGGCTTAGAGCGCATCGAAGCGGCCTGGCACGTCCGCATGCGTCCCAGCAGGCGCGAGGACAAACAGAACCTTTGCAATTGCATTCGTTCGGCGCGCATCGAATTGCTGGCGGACTGGCGCGTAGCTCAACGCGCGGGGCTTGCGGCGTTGCCGACCTGCTCTGTGATGACCTGGCTTACCAGGCTGAGCTGCGCCGGTGTCAGCGGAGCAGTGCCGCATAAGCGGCGCAGCCTTGACGATGTGTTGACCCCAGACGGCGTGGACAACAATTCATGTGGAGAGCCACCCGTGCTTACGTATAGGTGGCTTCTCATTCAATGCGCCAGGACTGCCCCTCCGTGGGATCCGATGTAACTGTTGCCTCGGCCGAAGCACAATGCTTCCCAATGTTGCGGGGATTCTTATCTCCTGCGCTGGAGAAGCTCCATCACTTCGTTTGGTACCCGCATGTGCTAACTTATTACTATGACATCATAAAGGGAAGCTGCTCCCAAACGGGAGTACATGTTAGCAGGCAGCTGTCTGCGAACAAACTTAAGTTGTTTGATTGCCCTAAACGCTCCTGGGTTGGGTTCTCGTTTTGACTAGAGCACTGTTCGCGCGTGTCCTCCATCTTCCCTTCTTCCTCCAAGCTCCTCCTGCCTCTATATCGTTTCTGCGTCTTTCCTACTACCCAGACGAGACTTCGCGATTCCCCTGGGGAGCTCGCAAGTGCGCAGCGGTCGCCACTTTTGTGGGTTCCTTGGGGGTCCCAGCGGAGTATGAACACACGCGGATCCAATCAGGACCTCGCGGCTCCCTGGGGTGCTGCCACCTGCGCAAGTGCCGCCACTTTCGGGAGCCCTTGGGGGGTCCAGCGGGGAGTCGCCACTTTCGGGAGCTCCTCGGAGGTCCAGCAGGGAGGAAAGTTCACAATACTGCTTTGAAGGAGCTATGAGCTACAGGAAACAAGCCTTTTAGTAAAATGCTGTTGCTCTGTTGCGCGGCAACCGCGGCGGCGCGTCCGAATTGCCGAGCCACGCCCTGCGCTCGCGCCCTGAATCTCCTGTAAGGAGCTTCTACAACTCGCTGAACAAATGTCCAAGGATCGCTGCGACCCGATGCAACGCAACCCTGATTACTCGAGCAAGCGCGTCGCGGGGTGAACTGGCAAGGAAGACTGGGCCCCTCGACCCCCGACTGGGCCCTGGCCCCGCATCACCGCCGCACCCCCAAGGCTTTACTAAA